CAGGCTGACGCTAGGCCAGCTTGTTTCACAGGGATCTGGATCTGGATCAGTGATCCCATCGCTGGCTCGCTTCATCCATTAGGTGGGTTTTGGCGTAAGTGAACCAACGACGGATCACTGATCGCGGTCCTGATCCCCGTGAAACAAACTTGGCCCAGAGGCACCTTGTGAATGTGAAAACTCTGCAGGTTTGCCATTTAAACAAACATTGTATCATGAATTCTCCTCCTCACTTGTATGTAAATATGTACCAAGAACAGGGTGTTGGACTTGAAGGACAACGTTTCCAGGTAGCAACATTGCAGAATGACAGTCTGGAAGAATGCCTCGTTTTAACATTCGCACCTGGGGCCATTGTAGACAATTCGGAATCAATCTTTTCATTTGTTTGCCCATTTGCATATTACAGTTGCACTACTTCAACTGAAGTTGTTGCCTCTGAGACATACTCATTAAACTATAAAACTGCACAATTTATTAAACAATCATTGATTTCTGAGATAAGTGTCAGTTTCACTAACATTTCCTGCTGCGTGGAATTAGCATATGTGGGACGAGTTCCCGGGTGATTTTCAAAATTCTTCAAAAATTCATAACATCTTTACTGGACACTTACACCCACACCAATGACTGTCTAGTGGCTACTCGAATCTGACAGGCAATCTCCATTGACGCCCGAGTATTGCAGCCGGGCCTGCTGCCGAGAGCACTGTTCGGTGTTGTGTAATTTCCTTTGTTCCTGAAATTGGCCCAGTACATTGCTGAATGGCAGTGGTGTCTTTTCAAATGTGGCCAGATTAGCATGCAGTGGTATTGTATCACTAGTCATCACTGGAGTGTTGGGGCACTTTTTTGCATTGAAACTTAAACTTCAACTTTTGGTGTAAGAAGAAAGGACTTTGAGCTTTAATTTGATGCCAAATTTGATGGGAGAAAATGGAGGTTAACTTTGGCTTGTGCTTTATTGGGATGCCCCATAGTAGCTCTTTCTGGTTAATTTCTTTGTTTTTCATAGGGCTCTTTGGCAGAGGCAATCTTCTGGTCTGCTGATCCCAAACGGGGTTCGACCAAGTCGGTAATGACATCTTTTATTAATGAAATTTGCCTCCAAAAGGAATAAGAATGTCAGTCATGTTTTTACCAATTGTGCTAAGTGTTGATACTGTCACCATTGGACGAAGCTGAAATTGATGACAAAACGACATATGTTATGTCTTTTTAAGGTCCATGCGATGAATTTCTCTGAGAAACCGTTTTAACGGTAGTCTTTTTTCTTATATGTATGAAACTTTGACAGTCCTTTTGGCTAGTTTTATTTTTGAGGAGGAGTGCTCTGCTTGAAACATTTAAAATGTTTTTTTTCTGGATATCTCAAGAGTGCTGTTGCCGTGATGTTATTTGGGGAAGACGCTTTTCAAATTGTTAACCCAAATTTACTCACGGAAAACATATGAGAAAGGGTTGCTTATTGACTAACCTACTTGTACTCACTCAATAAAGAGCTCTTGAAAACAGTAAAATTCGAGTCACTTTTTTGTGCTGAAATGACTAACATAGAGGTTTCTGACCAGAATGGAGTCAGATTTTTGCTCATGAATGTTGCATTTGACATCAGAATAAAAACGTTTTGATGGTGTATTGTTGGCAAAAGAAATTAAAGATAAGCAAGGATTCTGATGGAAAAACTGGAACTGTACATAAATGCTGATGAAGTTCTTTTCAACATACTTCATAATCTTATCAGTTATTAAATTTTGTTAAAAAGGCCCTTAACTGTGAAGTTTACACTGTTTTCGGAACTGAACAACAAATCATTCTCAGCGAAACAAATCTTCCTGCCCATTTTGGAAAAGCATATTTCAGTAGATGAGGTGGAAGGACACCATGAGATCTTGTATCATTCCATTTCAGCTGGGTACTTCCTTT